TCTCATGTTGATCATTAACAGCCCCTGTAGCACATCATACCTCTGTAGTACTTCCTACAATACTTTAATGATCATTGGCTTAACTCAGTCTTAAAAACATCAATAAATCACAAACCAACCATTAACTCACGATCTCCACCGGTGGTTATAAAGTTCAGTATGCCATAAATCATGACCCCAAAACTCAGCTCGATCGGATTCTATTTGACCCTCCAAAACCTCTCTTGAAGGTGCTCCACCAAAACTGTTTTCTGGAATTTTGCAGATTCGAATGATTATTGGCCAAATGTCACCACGCTTTACAGAGAGAGTTTACCATTGTTTGACAAGCCGTAAAATTCCATCTCTTCCTTGCAGTGAGATCTTTCCATAGACACCTTGATCATGGTCTGAATCTACCTGGGTCGCCGAGAATATGTCCTTCAAGTTGGCTCCTCATGCACTGATTTGCAGATTTCAGCATGCAGATTTTCCTACAAAAAAAAAACCATAACTATCGAATCCCATGTCCGAATTGTGATCCGTTTTAACATGTGAAAAACTGGCTTCGTTATCTTCGCAACGGTTCCAATATGAACCTCTAGTTCGTTCTGGTCCATCAGAAAAACAGCCCGTAATATGGCTGGTCGCAGCTTCTATCACAACTTTTTCAAACCCAAAAAAAAAATAACAACAACGAGGAGCATGCCCATAAATTTCAATCTTCTTCGTTCTAAGCACAAACATGATGAACCCTAATCTCATACTTAGCTCTTCATTCTCAACCACCAACACCGAATCCAGGATTATACCCGAAAATAAGAACGAATCTCTATCGAGACACGCTCTGATACCAATTGAAAGTGCGATTTCGTGGCTAGATCTATATGTTTGTGATCATAACGAGCATGTACGAGCATAAAGTAAATTGACACAAAAGATTTGTTAACTAGGGTTCGTTTCCTACTTCCCGGGACCACGTCTAGAAATAAATCCACTATAGAACAAGAAAACAATACACAATTGCAAACGCATAATCAAACACAACCGTTCTGACTATCGCTCTTTTCTATACAATGGATTCTAACCTGAGGATCGTCATGATCCCTCAGAAACACCAACAGGCTGATCTTGATCTTGTGATCTCCTCTGGTGGACGACGCCACATACACATGTTTGTCTCTCTCAATAAACCCTAGGCGCGTGAGTGTGTTTGTTTACGCCTCTAGGTATAAATACTCATGTCTCTAGACCCTAATGACTCTCCAAGTCACGTGGCCCTTCAAACCCATGAGTGTTAAAGCCATTAGCCAATCTTGTTAATAACTGTTTCAGCGTCTGCTTCAACTTTGTTCCAACTTTGTTTTAGCTCTGTTCCAGCTCTGTTCCTGCTCTGTTTCAGCTCTGCTCTGTCTATCTTAGTGCCTCTGTCTTACACTTCATTCTCTACATGTCCCAAGAGCTTCTTAAATCAGTCAGCAATACACTAACAATGTCTATAGTGATACTAATTTGATCACACGTTTAGTGACATGTTTTGTTTGTATCGTGCATATATGCACGAGCTAAATACTAGTTTTGATATAATTAGTTCAATATAATTAATGAGAAGCAAGAAAGTCATCGAATATTGTTTCAACTTTCAAATCCACCATAAATAAGATGACTTATCTATTTGTCTGTTTTCTCTAAAAATTGTTATCGATACTCAATTTTTCTTGTAGATTAGATTCCAACTACTTGAAGAAATAACACAGAGAAATTTTAAAAACAGTGTTGCTTATAAATGAAGTATCACGGCACCAAAAATGTCAAGAAAATGCGAATATAGTGCTCCAGTGGTCCAATGCTATATAAATTTTCTACTCGTGGAATCTCGCTCTCTTTCAAACTAATATAAATCACAGAACATGTAATAACTATTTTATCGAAATGAACTGTTTAAGGAAATGTTTGCATCTTCATCCTTTAACCTCACGCCATATTAAGTTCTTAACTAATACACAATTATTTATCGGACTTTTAAACAAATAAAAACTTAATAAGAAAATATAATGTTACTTAGTAACTAGATAATTAACCCGCACCGTGTGCGGGTATGAAACGTTTTAGAGAAATAGATAAATTTTGGAATCTAAATAACACGATTTATTGTTTATAAAAATAAACATGAATGATTGTTTTTTTAAACATTACATGCATATTTTAAACTTTATTCGTTTGTTTATTCTTTTTCATATTTTTCTTCATCTATTATTACTTGTATTTCTTTGTTTTATTTTCCTTTTCTTTTATCTAAGTTTTTTATTTTTTTCGAATTGTTTTCTTATTTTTCTTTCCTCTTCTTCATT